TCATGTCAGCCATTCATCCGTTTGCCATGGATTAAATCTCAGAGGGCTCCCTGGCCCCCTCAGAGCAAAAGCCCAAGTCCTCAGGGCCCGTGTGACCTCCTCTTGCCTGTCCCTGACTCCAAACAGCCTTCACCGTGCAGGAACCCCTCAGAACCCCCGCCCCCATGCCCTTCACGTCCGCAGAGAAGCCTTCTCTGATGGCCATATCCCAACACACCCCAACAACGCCTTCTAAGTTCATTTCTGCCCTTCAGACTTCTGCCAGAGACTTTTGTCAATGGGCTGCTGGCCCCAGAACCTAGAACAGCGTCTGGCACATTAAGGAGCTGCAGCAGTAGCTGAGGGGTGAGTATGAGGTCAGCCCCCATGCTGCTCTTCCTGTCTCATGTACCTGTTATACTGGCTCTGGGAGGCAGGGACTGCTGTTACCCCACTCCACCGATGGGACTCTGAGGCTCAGAGAGGGCAAATACATCGATTGGAACCCTGTCTGTCTGACCTGCACCCCGTCTCTGCCGCCAGCCTGTCTCCCGAGCAGTATGAGATCTGTCTCCCGCCTCCTGTGCCCACATCCTCCCAGCCCCTCAGGCAGACATGGCTCAGCCTCTCTGGTCTCCCCGTCTCCAATCTCCCACTCATGGACCTCCCGGCTGCAGAGACCCTTCTGAACCCCAGATCCGACCACGCCCTTCTTTGCTTAAAACCCTCCATGGCTCCCTGTTGTCCCGATCCAGGCTGGCATTCGAGGCTGCCAACTTCTCCGTAATTATCTCCTGCTTCATCAGGTGCAAGAGCCTCACTGAACTGCTCCCAGCCAAAACCGGTTTGGCTCAGTGGATAGAGCATCAGCCTGCAGACTGAGGGGTTCCAGGTTCAGGTCGATGTTTCTCTCATTGATGTTTCTAGCTCTCCATCCCTCTCCTTTCCTCTCTGTAAAAAAAAAAAAAAAAAAAAAAAATCAATTTAAAAAAATGCTCCAGAGTTTGCTCCCAGCTCCAAGCCTTTGGACACGCGGCCCCCTCTGCCTGGAACGCCCTCTTCCCTCGATCTGGAAAAACCCTGCTCCTATTTGCCCTCGGCGTGGCTGTCACCTTCACTGGGGAGGAAACAGGGCTCAGTGTCTTCTTCCCTGTCATCCCCAGCCTCCTACCCACTGGGGTGTCCCAGAGGCCATGAACTCCCCAAGGGTGGGGACCATGACTGATTCATCGCCAGGCTCTAGACTGAGGCCAGACCCAGAGCAGGGACTCCTCAGTTAGCCAGGAGGTGACTGGATGTGTCGGAAGTCTGACTGCTGGCTTACTTCCACATTTCACCAGCCTGACTCCACTGTTTACTGGCTGGGAACCCACGGACTTGTGCCTCAGTTTCCTCATCTGTGCAAAGCTGGCCGTGAGAATACCCACTCACCGTGTGGGGATGAATGAGCTCATACGTGCAATCGCTTGGTACGGTGCCTGGTGCTCAATAAATAACGCCCGAGAGAGTGGAGGAGGGAGCAGGTGGTGGGCAGCTGTGCGGGCGGGAGCTTGGTTCAGGAGGCGCCTCCTTCAGGGCGGCCCTGGCTGCTTCTCACCCTTGAGGATCCCTGTCGCTGGCTGCATCTTTCCCACCGCTGCCCTGCTGGGTCCAAGGTGGCCGGTGGAATGTGAGGCCAGTGGACACAGACAGGAAGAGGCAGCGTCACCAGCCTTGGTGTAATCCAAACCAGATGCAGCCTCAGACCCATGGGGTGGTCACTGCGGGCTTGGCCGAGGCCCAGAGGCAGGAAATAGTCTTGGAGGAACGCTCTCTGGGCTGGGACCAGCCAGGAGGAGCTGTCCCACCGAGGCCATTAACCCTTCTGAGCCCACAAAAGGGGCCAGGACGCCGGCCGGGGAAGCTTGTGGTTCTGGCCCCAGGAGGCACAGAGCACCTCGCAGGAAAGGCCACAGCGTCAGATTCCACCGGCCACACACCAGGCTCCATGGCGGGCAGGGCACACCAAGCAAGGGGCAGGGGACAGTCATAGCCTAGCACTTGGGACTTGCGGATCCGAAGCTTTGGCCCTGGCCTGGCTCCAGCTGGCAGGCCCAAACCAGCTGAGGGTTCATGCCTCCATCAGGTGGCTCCTGGTGAGGGGGGGTAGGAGAGTTGGCGGGGAGAGAAGTTGCTTCCACCTCCCCCGAGGCTGCTGGCGATGGGAGCTCCAGTGACAGGTGCCGGGGCCAGGCCTGCAGAGAGGCAAGAACTCGGTCCCATTTTAGGGGCTGCCACCCCAGCTTTTTCCTAGGTGTGCTCTGTGGCCCTTGGAAGGAGCAAACTCTCCCTGAATCCCCATTTCCCTACCCATATTGCTACCTCCAGGGACCAGGGGAGGCCCAAAGGAGACACCTACTAATAAAAAAAGAGCTTCCTAAGATACACTCCTGGGAAGGGGTGGGAACAGAGGCAGAGATCAGCCTGTTCCCTGGGTCTCGGTGGGCTTCTCGCCCAGGGTCTATTTGCCTGCTGTGTGACCTTGATCCAGTCACCTTCCCTCTCTGAACCTGTGAAATGCGGTAAGTGAGCACCCAGTCCCATATGTTGATTATCACTAAGGCCCTAGGAATGGCAGAGGAAAGCAGAGCTGAGGGCTTCCTGCCAGGAAGGAGGAGAGTGAGGCTTGTGCTGGGTGCCAGGGGTTCTGGGTTCTAGGTCCAGCGGTTGCTGTCTCTGCTGAGGGGCCTTCCTCGCTTTGGCCACGGTTTCCACAGCTGGACCCAGGCCCTAAATCTCTGCTGTCACCGGACCTCATTCCTCCTCCCCGCCAACCCACAGCAGTGACTCAGCCCTCATCATCACGCTGTGTGGCCAGAGCTCAGCCTGGGTGGGGGCCAGCGAGGCTGAGAATCAGAGGAAACCACAGGCCCGGCCCAGCTGGCAGGTGGCAGGTGGGCAGGCAGCGGGATCCTCGGCCGAGGGGGCCTTGCCCTTAAACTCATTTCCCACCACGAGCCCACGCTAGGCTCCCAAGCCCCTCCACGCCCCGGCTAAATGCCCACCAGGCCCAGACCCAGAGTCACCCACTCCGTGCGGCACCCGCTGCAGCAGGACCTGCACCCACCTGTGGAAGCCGGCAGGGGTGGAGGTGAGGACCCTGCTTCCCCCGTGGGGTGGTCACTGGGGGGTGGCCAAGGCCCGGAGGCAGGGGACCCGTGTTCATCACGGAGGCAGGGGAGGAAGGGGGTGAGCTGTCGTGGTCTCGGTCTGTGGGCAAGTCCAAGCTTCTCACGAGGCAGGCAGCACAGCAGTTAAGAGCGTGGGCTCTGGGCCTAGACTGGGTACAAATCCTGGCTCTGCCGCTGACCGCTATATGAGCCTGGGTACGTGGCTTATCCTCCAGGAGCTTGGCTTTCCCGCCTCGCAGGGTCACCGTGAGCAGCGGGTGCGATCGTGAGCGGAGCTGGGCCGGGCCGGCACCACGAAGGTGCGCCATGTACGTGACCTGCGCTCCCTGCCACCCCCACTGGGACCAGGGCCATGCCTGCTGCCCGCTTCTGACCAATGTCCTCTGGATGCACCCTCTGAGGGTTACGCTCTCCTGTCACCCCGCCCCCCGCAGACGGGGCCCCCTCCTCTGCCCTGCAGGCCCGTGGGGAGGGAGGCTGTGGTCCAGCAAGAACAGCTCTCTCCCGAGGCCTCCTGGGAGACCCCCTCCGCGCAGGCCCAGCGTGAGAAGCAGGGTGGGCTCAGAGCACAAGCCTGCTCTAGGAGACAGAGGGTCCGTGTCAAGCCCCAGCTTCTGACTTGTTGAATACTCACTCCTCACGTTTCCTCCCCTCCTCAAGCCTCAGTTTCCCCCTTGGTAATAGGAATGATAATAATATTCCTAACCCTTCTGAGAAGAGTAAATGAGTTACTATACATACACGTGCTTAGAGAGAGGCCGGTACACAGCAATCACCCCGTAAGTGTTAGCTGGTGCTGTGCCCTCCCTCTCACAGGTGAGGGAACTGAGGCACAACGTAGGGAAGGCACCTGCCCAGATCGTGGCCTGGGCGGGGTGGCTCCCGAGGCTGCACCGGCGACGGTGACCCTGGGGACCAGCACGCCGCTCGCCGGCCGGCGGGCAGCAGTTCTCAGCGGACGGGGGTCGCCTGTGACGTCGTCTGAATGAATGCAGGGAGATGAGGCCACATCCAACCTGTACATTTATTTACAAGGCACAAGCGGAGAGCAGGCGGGGGGCCGCCCACGGCCTCTGCACTCCTCCGGGGCCTGTGACTCCGTCCTGTCCTCGGAAGCCCTCGAGGCAGGGACGGGGCCCACCGCGGCCGGGCTGAGCCAGCGAGGCCCTCAGGCAAGTTCGGGGTGGTCTCCCCGCCGCCTGCCCCCTCCGCCAGGCCTGGGCTGGGCGTCCTCCCGCTCACTCGGAGTTCCTGTGTGTTGGTGGTCGGCGGGGAAGGTGGGAGGGAGCCGGCCAGATGGTGTGTGCTCGGCCTTATCTGCTGGGTGCAGGGAGGCGGGCGGGGCGCGGGGAGCCTCTCTCACAAAGCCCGCTCTGTCTGCGGGCAGCTGGGCCTCAGGAACCGACGTTGTTGCCTTCCTGCCCCACCAAGAACCTCTCATCCACACCCGCAGGGGCCTCCCACACGGGGACCCCACCCTCCCCTTTCAGCGGAGAGCAAGCTCAGGCCAGGGTGCCCGGCGGGGCCACGCAGGGGTCACCAGGCCAGCAGTTCCAGAGGTGGGGCCTGGGCGGGAGCAGCAGGCCCATGGCATCCGGGCGGTGGCTGAGGGGCCGGAGCCGGCCGGGGGGCGGCGTCAGCAGGATGGACTCAGGCCACACCCGAGGCAGCTCTCATCGGGGAAGCGGTCGCCGTGTGGGGGCGTGGGGAGCCCCGAGCCGCCCAGCCTGGCGCAGCCTTGTCCTGGCCAGGCCACCCTGGGGTCTGGCCATCTGCTCTGGCCTTCTGGGCTGTGAGGCCTCAGCCCCGGCCGCCGGGCAGCTGCATCCAGGCCTCGGCCGCTTCTGGGGCTCAGACCCCCAGCGCCATCAGTGCCCCTGAGCTGCTGATCTTCTTGAAGCGGTTGGCAGCGCTGACAGCGATGAAGTTTTTCTGGGGGAGAGTGGAGGGGGGTCCCAGTCAGCATCGGGGCAGCTGAGTGTCTCCTACGTCCCCTTTATTGCAGGAGGGCCCTCGGCCAGGGGGGGTGCAGTGCTCAAAACGGCCACAGGAGGCGCCATGACTGCACCCTCCAGGATTCCTTCCTTCCACAGGTTGGTCAGCCAGACCAGTGCTCTGTCAAGGTGCTCCAAGCGAGACAAACCCCTAGCCATGGCCAGAGAGTCCCTCCACACCCTGCCCCCCGCTCCCTTCTGCGCTCATCTCCCCATAGGTTCCTCATCAGTCCTGGTTTCCTACCTGCTCCTCACACTTGCCAACCAGCTTCTCCCTCAGGGCCTTTGCGTTGGCTGTTCCCTCTGCCTGGGACACGCTTCCTTTAGGCCCGCGCACCCCTCGCCTCCTTCAGGTCTCTGTCCACACCCTCCCTCTCAGTGAGTCCTCCCTGAGCCCCCATTTAGCAGTGCGACTCGCCTCTGGCACTCCGGACCATCCTTGTTCTTCCAGAGCCCTTCCCTAACCCTTTTCATATCTCCCCACCCCCCACCAGCACCCCCAAACGTCAGTCCACAAACACTGAACTCCTGTGTCTTATCCAGTGGGGTATCCCCCGTGCCTGGAGGCAGTAGAGGCTCCATTGATATTTGAAAAAGGCAGGAAGGAAGCCTGTGACGAGGTCAGAGACCTCTTCCTGACCCTGAGCCCCAGGCGGGTGCCCCTCCTCAGGGTGGAGGGGGTGGGGGAGGTCAGGAGCCAGCCCAGGACAGAGAGAACAGCCAACCCTGTTCTCAGGCAGGGCCAGGCCTGGTGGGTGGAACCCGCCAAGGCAGGCCTGGTGGGGCCCAGAACCTGGTGCCAGGACCTCTTCCCGCCCTGCCGCCCCTCCCCTCAGCCACCCCAGCCCCGCGGTACCTTCCAGCGTCTCTTCATGAGGTATTTCTTAAGCAAGATCTGGGACTTGAGGCGTCGGTTGCAGCGCTTGGCTTTCTCGGCCAGGTTGTTGAGCCAGGGGTGGGCGAGGCACTGGGCAGCGCTCATGCGGGCCCTGGGGGGAGGGTGCGGCGAGGAGAGGGTGGGTGGCATGCCCACGGGCACCGGCGCCCAGCAGGCCTTGCAACCAGGGCCCACCCTGCCTGCACACGTGTGCACTGGGCTCGCCCAGGGGGGTGCGTGAGCCTCACCCCTGGTCCTTGACGATGAGGTGGGAGACGAAGTCTTTGGCCTCATCGGACACAGCCTCGAAGGTCTCCTCGTCGAAGTACCAGTTGGCAGCCAGGACGTTGTTCAGGGTCTCTGTGTCATCGTCTCCCAGGAAGGGGGAGAGGCCGCTCAGCCTGGAGGGAGGGGATGGCGGCGGGCGGCGGGGTGAGACCAGACATGCTAAGCCACCTGGGAGGGTTTGGGGGGCGGGGATAGATCCTAGGAGGCAGCACCAGATGCTGGAAAGACCCCCAGCCTCTCACGTGGGACAGACCTGAGTTTGAATCTGGCTGGGTGACCTTGGGCAAGTCACTTCCCCTCTCTGAGCCTCACTCTTCTCATCTGTAAAACGGGCATCATCATCCCAGCTTCCCAGGGTTACGGTGAAGGAGAGGAATGGTGAGGGCACAAAAATGTCCACCACCCCCGTGCCCCCGCCCGGGGCCATCAGAGACCTGCTGTCCAGAGCCCTGGGCTGGGATGCTATGCCTTCAGGGGCCTCGGTTTCTCCATTTGTAAAATGGGTGCCAAGTTCCCCTTCCCTGGTTCTCCCTAACACTCCCAACTCCCAGCAGAACCCTGACCAAGTGAATGAGTGGGGTGAGACCACCTCACCTGGACCCCGAGGCCAGTCTCGGCCTCCGCTGCCCACCCGGGCGCCCAACCCCAGGACCCCGCGCTCCCCGGGGCTCACAGCATGTAGGTGATGACCCCCATACTCCACATGTCCGTCTTGTCGGAGATTTGGTCGTAATTCACCACCTCGGGGGACAGGAACTCCGGGGTCCCAAAGTTCACCTTCAGCTTCTCATTGGGGTTGTACCTGGGGGTGAGACCAAGTGCTCAGAGCACAGCCCGCTGCCTCCCCCTTGCCCTCTGCCCTCCTCAGAGGCCGGGCCTGGCCTCCCCCCAGGTGGTACCTCCGTGCCAGGCCGAAGTCAATGATCTTCACCAAGTGGCCGGTGTTGTTGACACACAGGATGTTCTCTGGCTGAGGAGAAGGGGTGGCCCGGATTGGCCTCTGGCCCGGCCATCCTCCCTCCCCATTCAGATCCTCCCGGGTCCCTGGTCCAGCCAGAGGCCCCGGCCGCCATCCATGCCCCCAGCCTGTCTGCTCCAGGCACAGATGTGGACCCCGAGCGCCCGAGAGGGATTGGGGTGAGGCCTCACAGCGCCAGGCTTCTGGGTGGGTGCATTTTCCCTCATCTCAGGCCAAGAAAGAACAGTGTTCTCGCAGTTCTGAGGGCGCAGTCATTCTGTGCCCTGAGAGGTTAGTTCAGGGTCACCACCGGGTACGTGGAGGCCCGGAGACCAGAGCTCTCAGCAGAAGCCCAGCTCGGGGCTCTCAGAAGAGGCCTCTTGGGCACAGAGGGGCCTCACGCCGCGCCCGGCGTGCTCTGAGAGGGGTGCTCTTGTCTCCCCGGTCAGGGACGAGGACAGCGCCTACAGGTGGCAGGCCCTGAATCAGTCACTTCCCGCGATTAGCTCCTCAGTCTTTCCAACCGCGCTGTGAGGCGGAGACTGTCACTTCCCGGGCCCATTTCACAGCTGAGAAAACTGAGGCTCAGACACAGGAGTGACTTGGCCCAACAAGCAAGTGACAGTGCCAGGGCTTGATGCCAGGACCGGCTGACGCCAGCGCTGGTCTTTCGATATCATTCTGCCTGCTGCCAGCCAGCAAAGACCCACCGTGCACGCCATCCTTTGCTCCCCACCCTCAGTACCGAACTAAGACCCGTGGGTGCTCAGGCAGGGCTCCCAGAACCCTATCTGAGTGACGTCACTTCAAGGCTAGTCCCTCCCACACTGGGTCTTCCTGTAACCCAAGGGCACTACCAGTGGATCATAAACTCTATCGCTTCCCCTAGCCTGCTATGGAGCAGGACTGAGCGAGGTCGGAAGAGGGATATAGCTGTTCTCTCATGAAGCTTTTCATGTTAGCGCCTTCTATGTGTGTATTGCTGCACTGGCACTAAACTTACTGACTTGTTTGTCTGACGCCTCTCCTAGTTTGTCAGCTTCATAGGGGCAGGCGTTTGTGTCTGCTCAGTTCACCGCGATCTGCACCTGCTGCTGGAACACTGTGTGGCCTGGCGTAGGCCAGTGTTTCCCAAAGTGTGGTCCGCGTACCCCCAGGGGTACGGGAAGAGTTTGGTGGGGGTACGCGCTGCACCGGAGTTTGGTGGGGATATGCACTGCATCGTGCTTAGCTGTGCCTAATTCTACGTTCTCATGAGTACGAGGGGTACTCAGCGTTACGAAAATTATAGAAGGGGTACACATATGTCAAAGGTTTGGGAAACACTGGCGTAGGCCCTCAACAAATATTTGTTCACTAAATAGGCAAACACACCTGTTTCCTCAGGTTTGGTCTATTTAGTGTCTTTCAGGGCCCCCAGCACAGAAGTAAGTGCTTTTGCAACACTGATTAGTAAGCTCTTTGTGGGAGGCCCTGTGCTTGGGGGCCACAGGGCTGCAAAAGACACTTTCAACAAGTGTCTCGTGTCAGACTGGAAGCTCCTGAGAGCCAGGACCAAGCCTCTTGCTTTGTTTCCTGTCCCATTCTTTATCTCTGGTATTTAGTCAGTGCTCCATCCTTGGTGAGTCTCCAGGTGGGAGGATGGAGGGAGGGAGAGAAGGGGTGGGAGAAAGGAGGGATGGCTGGTTGCCACCCTGATTTCAGGCGGTCAAAGGCGGCTCCTGGCCCTCCCAGGAGACCCAGCCCCAGTACCTTGAGGTCCAGGTGCAGAACCTGCATCTCGTGCATGAAGAGGATCCCGTCGCAGATCTGCCGGACAAACACCATGGTGTCCACCTCAGTCAGCTGGTAGTCCTCGTCCACGATCCTCTCGAAGAGCTCTCCGCCCTCGATGCTGTGTGCACAGAGCCCTCTGCAGGCTGCTCCCGGCCCGCAGCGCCCCCCCCCCCCCGCCCCCGCTGCTGGCACTCACTACTCCAAGAACAGGATGATGTCGTGGGGGGTCTCGATGGCTGCGTAGAGCTGGATCAGGTTGCGGTGGTTGAGCTGGTTCATAACCTCGATCTCGAGCATCACCATTTCCTGGGGACCAGGGGAGCCGGGGGGGGGGGGGGGGGCATCCAAGGGTCACCGCTCCCTGCCCTCCACCCTCCAGACCTGCACCCTGACGGGAACCTGGCCTGGACCCTGCCCAGTCTCCTCCTCCTCACTAGCCTCCGTGCCCGTCCCCAAGCCTGTGTCCTCCCCACCCCCAGTTCTTCCTTTGCAGTTCTTCCTCTCCTCCTGGCAGGATATGGGGGATCCAAGGGCCCAGACCTCCCCGCTCATCACTCCCCTCCCAACACCCTCTCCCTGGGCATTTTCCTCAAGCCCCATGACTAGATACTTTCACCCGAATGTGACCAATCTCCAAATGCTCTCCCCCATGAGCACCCCCTTGAACTCAGCACACCCACATCGCCAGCTGCCCAGCTGCCATTTATTTCCCTCGGATGTCAAGAGGCATCGCAACTCTGTCAAGTCCAAAATTAAACCCTCGTTACCGCCCCTTCCCCACATTTGAGCTTGTCCATTAGTAAGAGGACATCGCTCTTCACCCAGGTGTGCGGGACAACAGGTTAGGGGCAATCCCAGATTCTTTCTTTAATCTTGCTTCCTCACACCCCATGTCCAATCCATCAGTCAATCTTCTGACTCTACCTTCGAACCAGATTACAAATCCAATGATTTCTCACCTCCTCTACCACTGCCATCCTAGCCTAAGCCACCATTATTTGTCATGTTAGGAAAGTTTGCAAGCCAGCTGTCACCCTGGGAGTTTGAAATCAGTGATGGCAGAAATATTTACACCACGGAAATTGGCAAATGCCACCAGGCAGGCCTCTCCCTGAACTTTCTCCCCTCCCTCCTCCCCAGGACATCATATCACTAACCCGAATCACTTCATCTCTCTCATCCCATTCCTCCATTCCTATCTCACCTTGCATACATTCCTCAGGAGGCCTAGCCTTGCCCCCTCCATCTGCATGTCCCCGCACAGCTCCACACTCCCTGGTTCTTACCTGCCTTTATTTCTCCTCCTAGCACCTCTCAGTTCCTGGCACCAGGCTTATTGTTGCATTCTGCTTTTTAGGTGTCTGTTTCTCTTCTCTAGCATGTCAGCCCGTAAAGGGCAGGGACTCTCAGTTCACTGCCATTTCCTCTGCACAATGAACGGCACACCAAAAATGGTTTGGTGATAATTAACCAATAGCTGCCTCCAGTGGATGTATGCAGCACACATGGATTGAGCATCTACACTGAGCCAGGCCCGTGATAGAGGCCTGGGGACCCAGCAGTCAATAACATGGATCCAGGCCCTGTCAAGTGGAAGAGGCAGAGAAAGACAACAAGTCACAGAGAAAACACTTGCCTCTGTGCGTGGCCTCTGCCAGGAATGGCCATAAGCTCACCTCTCAGCTCCCTCTGCCCCAACTCAAGAGTCCCAGCACTCCCTGCTGTTTCCAGCACTCAGCCCTTGCCTCCCACAGTCCCTCCTTCTTCACAGTCTTCATGACAGCAGGCCGGGAAGGTCCCCTGACCCACAGGCTGGAACAGGCGCCTCCTCTGCCCTCTCCTCACTGCCGCCTGCCCCAGCTCTCCCGGTCACAGCTCTCACTACTCCAGGTGGCTCGGTTGTCCTCACCTCCTCACACCCGACTCCCTCGCTCCATGTGAGCCTCTGCCTGCATTCCCTCCTTCTTGGTTCCTTCCTCACTTGTTTCTCTTTCCCCTTCCCTGCTTCCTTCTTTCCTCTCTCTCTCCCTCCCTCTCTTTCTTCCTCCTTTCCTCCTTCCTTCCTTCCTCCCTCCCTCAATAAGCCCAGCTCTCGGCCTCCTCGGAGCCAGGCCCGGGCTGGGTGCTGGAGGCAGGCCTCTAGACCAGGCCACTTCGGTGCTGCCTGAGGGCAGGGACCTCAGCCACTTCACTCCCAGACGCCCAGGGCCCAGCAGGGCCTGGCCCGGAGCCTGCACTTTTCGGCATTGGCTGAACTGAACAAAACAGAGGGCGTGAGTGTCCTGTGCCTAGCAGGGGAAGTCCCGGGATGAGTTCACTAACTGAGGTGTCTGGTTTACGTTGAGGGGCATCAGGCCCCAGTGGTAGGGCTGTCCGTCTGTCCGTCTGGACAGACACATGGGGAGAGGAAGGTGAGAGGGCCCCCACACTCCAAAGATCCCCTCGCTCCCATAGCCAAGCCCCACCCCTGCTACCTTGTCTTTGGGCGTCTGTTTCTTGATGACCTTGGCTGCCAGCTTGAGGCCAGTGGCTTTCTCTGTACAGGTACAGACGGCTCCGAACTTCCCGCTGGAGAGAGAGGAGGCTGGGGGTGAGGGGGGGGGCAGGGGCTGAGGGGGTCAACTGGATCCCCACCATGATCGAGGGCACTCGCCCCAGCCAGCCCTCACGCCCTCCTGAAGCTCTGCTTCTGGGACAATGGCTGCGCCACACAGACCGCGGGCACAGGAAGGGCTGCTGATCCGGAGAGCGGTCCCTGACGTGACAGCCTGAGCTCTGGGCCCCGGGGGGAACCTCCAGGGCTTTTTACAAAGCAGGAATCCACTGAGACAGACAGGAGAGCACTGTGCGCTCCTACTGGAAATACTGAATGGGCGGGTGTGTGTGTGTGTGTGTGTGTGTGTGAGAGAGAGAGAGAGAGAGAGGAGAGAGTCACGTGACAGCTTGCACATGGCAGGTGCCACCACTAGAAGCCCTGTGTTCATTGTGTAACTTCCAAACTTGCACAGGGAAGATGTAAAGCTTCAGGGGCTTCGATGCTGTTCAGGGCCCAGGGGCCCGGCTCTTACCCTCCCAGAGTCTCCTTGGAGTTCATGCTGAACTGGCTGTTGACGTTCCCGGTCCTCAGCTCCACAATGCGGTGGGGGAAGGGGGCCGGGGGAGGCGGGCAATCGTCTGGAGGCAGAGCAGAGCCATCACTGTGAGTGCCAGGGGCTGCGAGGATCCACCTAGCACCCCCTCACCCCCAACGCCACCCCCGACACCCCCCCCCCCACTCCTGCCTGGCCTGGGCCGTACCTGGGGCACAGCTGGCTCCAGGACAAGGGCTAGGGGACTCAGTTTCCAATTTCAGCTCTGCCACCACCTTGGGAGGCCTCTGCCTCTGACAGAGGGAGGCTCACCTGCCCCCCCCCCCTCCGGCACCACAATGGGGATGGCCCATTAGACCACTGAGACCCTCCCCGGCTACCTGCATCCCGAGCCCCCTGCATTTCCACCGGAGAAAAAGGGGCCAGATAGGGGTGACCATGTCTGACGGGGGCAGTGATGGGATCTGCCTACCATCCCCTCCAATAGCACCACAGGCTGGCCAGGCGGGCCCCGGGTGGGGAGGGGAGGAGAGACGGGGGAGGGGGGCAGAGGAGAGGGGGACGGAGTTTGGTAGGGAGAGGCTGCCACCTAGCGGCAGCCCCGGCGAACAGGGCGCTGGCGGCGGACGGGCTGAATCATCGGAATGGAAACCTCTTTATAAATAGCCAGAGGCGGCAGGGAAGCCGGGCCGGGCCGGCGATAAATCAGACGGCCCTTGGAGGTGGTTCAGGTGCCGTCACCCTCGGGACGGGGCTGCGGGCGGGGCGGGCGGAGGTCTCTGCGGCTCCGGAGGAGGCCGGGCCCCTGGCCGCCGCCCAGCCGCCAGGCCCGCCCACCCTGTCTGGGTGGCACCGTGCCGCTCCCCGGACCGGCTGGCCGGGCTCCCGGGGCACCTCGGCCCGGGGGGAGGGAGTCAGGACGCTCTGGGCTCTCCTGACCCCGGCTCACCCCACCCCCAGCCCGGCCGAACCCTGGCCCCGGCTCAGCCCCGCCGGCCGGGCTCACGCACGCGCAGTAGCCGCCCGCCGCCCGCCGCCCGGGCCGGGGCTCCGGGTCCGGTCGCCGCCCAGGCCCCGCCGCGGCCCTGCCCCATCGCACATGCCGACTCCCCGGCCTCCGCCTCCCACCGACACCTGCGCTCCTCCCCACCCGCCCGCGAAGCAGTCTGAGTACCAAAGCCTGGCATTTCAGCCGCACAGACTGACTTCACCGCCCGCCGCCCAGAGCGTTGGTGTGGCTCCAGTAACCTGCCCGGCATTTTTCAAAGCCCCATGCTCGCCAAAGCGGAGCTCCGGAGGGAGGGCGCCCCAGAGGTGCAAGCCCTCTCCTAGCTGTGGAGGTGGGGGCGCCCGTCCCGTTTCCTTCTGCTGAGCCTCCATTTCCCCATCTATCTAAAGGGCCAGACACTCATGCGGCCTGGAGTTGGTTGTGTGGCTGAATCAGCCTGGGTGAGACGTGGCTCAGAGCAATTCAGTCCTCTCAAGTGAGGGGAGACGCGGGGGTCCCCCTCCCCTTTTCCCTGGAGCCCCCCAGGCAGCCTCAAGCCCACCCCGGCCCCTGGCCTACCCAAGATCTGGAAGCAGTCCTCCTCCCTGGCGGTGAGGCTGAGGGGCTGCCCCACCTCCCATCTCGCCGCGGGGGGCACAGCCTGGAACTCCATCCCCCTCGAGGTGTCCCCTTCCACCTCAGCCCGGCCCGAGGCCTTCTCTCCGGCTTCCTGCTGGCTGCCTCGCGGGACGTTTTCCCCTCCTTCTGCTGCTTTGGCTGGCACGGGATCTGGGGGGCTGGGGCTCACGGGCACCCCTTCAAAGATGAGCTCCAAGGTCTCGTTTGGGGGCTTCTCAGCCAGCGGCTTCTCTGGGCTAGAAGGCGAGAACACAGAGGTGATGCCCTTAGCAGCCGCGGCCCCGCGGTGGCCTCCCGCCCGTCCTCTTGCTTCCAAAGCCTCGTCTGCTCTCGGGAGCTGATGCAACCCTGGCCCCCAACCCCAAGCGCACGGGGCAGTGTCTCCAAAGCCACTTTTTGCAAAATCAAGGAATGTTAACATTATCACAAATGACTGTGGTCATTATCTTGACTATTAATACACGAATAGATAATAACTAACCATGAATAGGGTTATTGATGTGACCAATCATTATATGGATATAATTAGGGAGGTAAATAGCTTTTGATTCATAAAAAACAGTGGCAATGCGATTGATATGAATATAAAATTTAAGTTGACAGGGTGTTATGATTGTGGCTTAACAACCTATCATTAATGACCTGGGTAATCTGATTAGCACTCAGGGAAGTGTAATTGAATGCATCCTGAGACTGATGCTTTCTTATGAAAAGTGTTAGTAAGTTAGGAAGTGTTAGGAAGGATCTACCCATCATCTATGAGTCGCCTTTCCATGTTATACTGATAATTATATTAACAAGAAGGGCTTTCCTTTCCTGATAGCTCGGCTCCACCCTTGGCTAGATCCAAGTGCACAGAATATGGAGAACTCTGGACTTCGGGTGCCTAGAGGTTCCACCTGAGCGGTCCCTGAGCCCTCTCCTGCCTGACATGCTAGGCTTCTATGCAATTCCTGCTTTCTGCAAGGGTACAAGCAGGTGAACTCAGGACTACCCCATCCAGCACTGAATGTAACAGCAATGATTCCCGAACAGAGGAGCCCAGCCTGGCCCTGGGACAGAGTCCTTTCCCTGACCCTCCAAGGCATTCACCTGGGGATGGCAGCAGGGCAGCTGGGGCAATGCAGGAAGGCTGGTGAGCCCCTCCTGGCCACTGCATGACTCTCCACGACCTTCTTTTGCTCCTTGGACTCTCCAGGATCCTGGCTGCTCGAGAACTCCTGGTTGTCGCCGTCGCTGGGCTTCTCGACGCTGGCCTCAGCCGTCCGGGTCTGCTGGGGCAGGGCTGCCGGCTGCCCAACGCTGCCCACGGCGCCTTCTCCCTCAGGGCCCTGGCTGGAAGCTGCGGGCTCGGCCAGGCCACCTTCCCCTTTCTCTGGGGCACCTTCCTTCATGGTGGGGGGGCCAGATTCCTTCTTTGGGTCTGAGGGGCTAGATTCTTTCTTTGGATCTGGGGGGGCAGGTTCCTTCTCTGGATCTGGGGGGACAGGTTCCTTCTCTGGATCTGGGGGGACAGGTTCCTTCTTTGGATCTGGGGGGACAGGTTCCTTCTTTGGATCTGGGGGGACAGGTTCCTTCTTTGGATCTGGGAGGACAGGTTCCTTCTTTGGATCTGGGGGGACAGGTTCCTTCTTTGGGTCTGAGGGGACAGGTTCCTTCTTTGGATCTGGGGGGGCAGGTTCCTTCTTTGGATCTGGGGGGCCAGAATCTTTCTTTGGATCTGGGGGGACAGGTTCCTTCTTTGGGTCTGAGGGGCCAGATTCTTTCTTTGGATCTGGGGGGACAGGTTCCTTCTTTGGATCTGGGGGGGCAGGTTCTTTCTTGGGATCTGGGGGCCCAGATTCTCCTTTCTTTGGGTCTGGGGGGATAGGTTTCTTCTTTAGATCTGGGTTGGCAGGTTCTTTCTTTGGTTCTGGGGGGCCAGAATCTTTCTTTGGATCTGGGGGGGCAGGTTCTTTCTTTGGATCGGGGGGGCCAGATTCTCCTTTCTTTGGGTCTGGGGGGACAGGTTCCTTCTTTGGTACTTGGGGACCAGAGTCTTTCTTTGGGTCTGGGGAGGAAGGTTTCATATTTGGATCTGGGGGGGCAGGGTCTTTCTTTGGTTTTGGGGGGCCAGAATCTTTTTTTGGATCTGAAGGGGCAGGTTCTTTCTTTGGATCTGGGGGGCCAGAATCTTTTTTTGGATCTGAAGGGGCAGGTTCTTTCTTTGGATCTGGGGGGCAAGAATCTTTCTTTGGATCTGAAGGGGCAGGTTCTTTCTTTGGATCTGAGGGGGCAGGTTCTTTCTTTGGTTCTGGGGGACCAGAATCTTTCTTTGGATCTGGGGGGGCAGGTTCTTTCTTTGGATCTGGGGGGGCAGGGTCTTTCTTTGGTTCTGGGGGGCCAGAATCTTTCTTTGGATCTGGGGGGCCAGAATCTTTCTTTGGATCTGGGGGGACAGGTTCCTTCTTTGGTTCTTGGGGACCAGAGTCTCTCTTTGGGTCTGGGGGGGAAGGTTTCATATTTGGATCTGGGGGGGCAGGTTCTTTCTTTGGATCTGGGGGACCAGGGTCTTTCTTTGGGTCTGGGGGGACAGGTTCCTTGTTTGGATCGGGGGGAGCAATTTCTTCCTTTGTGTCTGGGGGGACAAGGTCTTTCTCTGTAGCTGGGGGTCCTTCGCCTGCTACACCTTGAGGTGCACTGTCTGTAGAGGAGGGGAGACATCAGTCAGGACTCACCCCCCTTCCCTCTCTCCCCAGCCAGGCTCACCAGAGACCAGCTCTGGGCCCAGGTCCCCACTTAGCAAAGATCTGCAAATGCTTGTCCCACTGAGCCTCTCGGGCCCCTTGACGGCTCTAGAGATGGGCTGCTGGGACCTCAGAGTCCTGTGCGGAGGGTTCTGCTCCTCTGCTGGGCCCGGACAGCCCGGCACTCCTTGCCCTGTGTTTACTGCCATCCATGAAAGCTTCACATTTTCCTAGCTTCTCTGGGGAGGAATTGATGTCAGCTCTTGACCAGCCCAGGCCTACCCAGACAGAATTCGGATTCCTGAGGCCCCCATGCACCACACAAAGAGGCCTTGGGCACAGAACCACCCAGACCTGGATTCAAGCACCCCTTCCCAAGCAAGCTCCTCCCTCCGCCTCCTGCCCCAGCTTGGCACCTGTTGATGAGCTCTGGATTCCCATCTCGACTGCTCCGTTTTCTGTCGCCATGAGGTAGGAAAGCGTACGCTTCCGCTTGTCTAACTCAGGTCTTTCTAGCTGCAGAGAGAAGCACGGGGCGTGTCAGGCTGCCGGAGTCCTCCTCTTGTCAGGCCCAGAGGCCAGGGCCGGCTGCCTGAGGGGAGAGAGGTACCTGGAGCAGAGAGGGGCAACCTGGTGGCGTCTGTATGGCAGCGGCCGCCCAGGAGCCGTCCTGGGGCAGTTGTAAGGGATTGGGCCGGGTGGGCAGAGGCGGAGGCAGGGGTGCAGGCAGGGGAGGCGGGGACGGAGGAGAGGATCTCTTACACCAGGGGCCATGCAGCTCGGACTGCCACCACCTGTCACTCTTGGCCCCCATTCAGAGGACACAGCATTCTTCCCACGGACCGACGGGGGGGTCAGGCGGGGAGTGGTGTTGGAACAAGCAAAAGAGAAAAAGGAGGGGGCACCTGGGGCCCTGGGGCACGGGGCAGCAGCCTTCCCATGCCTGGGCTTGAACAGGACCAGGGAGGGGCCTGGAAGAAGAGGGGATCTCAGGCAAGGCTGAAGGGCAAGATTATGCCCAGACTGGGCCCCGGCTCTGCCCACCTGCATCCCACATGTCCTGGGCCCCCCCAGAACCAGGTTAGAGCCACATAGGCCCAGAAATAATCACCCTTGCCGAAACCGGTTTGGCTCAGTGGGTAGAGCGTCCGTCTGCGGACTGAAAGGTCCCAGGTTCGACTCCCGTCAAGGGCATGTACCTTGGTTGCGGGCACATCCCCGATAGGGGGTGTACAGGAGGCAGCTGATTGATATTTCTCTCTCATCGACGTTTCTAGCTCTCTATCTTTCTTCCTTTTTCTCTGTGGAAAATCAATTATATATATATATATATATATATATATATATATATATATATATATATATATATATTATTTTTTTTTTTTAAAGAAATGATCACCCTGACTCCAGTGCCCAGCTCTGTGCCCATGAGCTCTGCCTGGCAATTGGACCCATGTGGACCATCTTTGGATTAGAAATTTTCTCAGAGGCTCTTGTTCAACATGCCCTTGGGCCTAAAAGCCTTTTCTTTTGAAAATGTCTTTTTCAAATCATTGATCGGTTGCCTCATGCATGCCTGCTACTGGGGATCAAGCCTGCAATCCGGGCATGTGCCCTGACTGGGAATCAAACTGTGACTTCCTGGTTTATGGGTCAATGCTCAACCACTGAGCCACGCCAGTGGGCTACCCTTTAACTTTTTTTATTTGAACCATGAACTATGTGAACAGTTTACTATTCAAAGTGAGTGAATATTTCCTATATATTTTTATTGATTTCAGAGATGGAGAGAGAGAGATAGAAACAAAGATGACAAGAGAGATTCATTGATCGGCTGCCTCCTGCATGCCCCACACTGGGAATCGAGCCCACAACCCCGGGCATGTGCCCTGACCAGGAATTGAACCATAACCTCCTGGTTCATAGATCAACACTTAACCACTGAGCCATGCCAACCGAACTGAGTGAATAATTTTTTAAGTGAGAAAATGCTGAGGAGATTGGTAATGGCTAGAAAAAAACAGAGTTGGAGTTCCTTCCTCATTCTTGACAACTTTTGCTCTTCCTGGCCCACCCCTCCTCCATTTCTCTCCTCAAGGTCCAGTTGGCAAACAGAAATAGTAACTAGAAAGAAGAAATAATAACTGATCCTGTCTAGTACTTGCCACATGTGTCAGGTCTTGTTCTTGGTGCTCTTCTGTTGATTCACTCATGTGATCTTCTGAACAATTAAATGGGGTAGGTACAACTTCAGATGGGTAAACTGAGACACGGAGAAGTTAAATAATTTACTTAGAGTCACCCAGTTTTGTAAGGGACTGAGCTGGGACTTGAACCCAAGCTCTCTGAAGGGAAGAGGGCTCCTTTTTTTTTTTTTTTTTTTTTTTTTTTTTAGTGTATACTATTATTAGCTTTATTCATATTGTCTTAAAACATCAGCTTTTAAAAATATATGTTTTGCCCTAACTTGTTTGGCTCAGTGGATAGAGTATCAGCCTGTGAACAAGGGTCCCAGGTTCAATTCCAGTCAGGAACATGTACCTTGGTTGTGAGCACAACTACCTCTTCTTGAAATATATTTATTCCAGAGAGAGGAAGGGAGAGGGATAGAGAGATAGAAACATCAAAGATTAGAAAGGATCATTGATCAGCTGCCTCCTGCATGCTCCCTACTGGGGATCGAGCCCACAACCTAGGCATATGTCCTGACAGGGGATCAAACCATGACCTCCTGGTTCATGGATTGATGCTCAACCACTGGGCCACACCGGTCAGGCTATTATTTTTCCCCTCACCTGAGGAGTGAGGATATTTTTCCAATGATTTTTAGAGAGAGGAGAGACATCGATGTGAGAAACACATAATTGGTTGCCTCCCAAATGCACCCCAACCGGAGGCGGGAATCAAACGTGCAACCCAGTCATGTGCCCTTGACTGGGAATTGAATCTATGACCCTTCAGTGTGCAGGCCAACGCTTTAAACATCATCTGATAACTCTGCGGGGAGCTTTCATCTTATTTTCTAGGTGAAGACAGGGAGGATCAAAAGATTGAGTGACTTGCCACGGCCAGTGTGGTTCAGTTGGTTGGGCGTCACCCAGTGCACTACAGGGTTGCTTCTCTGATTCCTGGTCAGGGCACATGCCTGGGTTGCAGGCTCGATCTCCAGTAGCAACAGGAGGCAGCTGACTGATGTTATGCTCTCACCTCTCTCATGTAGATGTTTCTCTCTTTCTCCTGCTCCCTAATATATATATTTTTAATTGAGTAACTTGCACAAAGTCACTCTACAACTAAGAGGAGTCCAGACAGAAATGTCCTTCTTCACAACCCAAAGTTCTCTTTCTTCCATAAAATTTCCCTGCCTGTGCTCACCCCACTGTCCTCACTGGGGTCCCAGCATTCTGGAGGTTGAAATGCTTCCTGTCTGCAACCTACGATTGGGAGCCCCTGGCCCCCCATTTGGTTGTCCCTGTAGCAGGTTCTGGTTTAGCTTGAAATGCTGCCCCCCCCCCCCTCCTCTGGCCTCCTTCAGCTCCAGGTCGATCCCACTATGAACAGTCCGGGAGCCCTCAAGGGCAGGGGCTGTATGATGCTCACGTGTGTCCCCAGCACAAGGCGTACTTCCAATCAGTGTTTGATGAGACCAGCAAGTGTCTGGACTGGGTATGGGAACTGCTCTGCCATGATGGCCCTTGCTGACATCCTCTTGCTATTAGTGTGTTGTCAATACTGCTCACTTACTGAGTGCCCACCGAGGGCCAGGCCTGACTCTGCCAAAGGCTTCCCTCCAGCTCATTGGATCCTCACAAGGGACTCCAGGGACCAAATGTTAGGCATTTCAATGATGCAGAAACTTATGCTAGGAAAGGGTAAGAGGCTTGTCTCTATGAGTAGCTTCCATTTACTCAGATTCAAATTCAGAGCTGCCTCCTGATGAAACCAAAATCCAGGCTTAGACCACAGAAGGGGCTTAACTTGCTACCTTTGTCATGGTTGTGATTCCCAAATAATAAATAGCACTTACTGAACCCTTATGTAAACAGGTCAGACCCTGGATAAGAACTTTGTGAGTGTCCTCAATTCAGCTCTTACCATCTCTGTGGTTAGGAGCTCTGTCGGCCAAGCTGAGACCAACAGGCATGGGCCAAAGCCTTTGCTTGTCTCCTCATCTGTAGGAAGAACATCTTCCTCACAGGGGGAGGGATGTAGGAACAGGGCCTGGGTACCTAGTACGTGCGTTATAAATGTTATTTCAACCCATTTCAAAGATGTGAAGGGAAACTGGGCCACAGGGTCTGAACTACCTAATCCAAGGCTCAGCTCATTACCACTCTGCCTGTGGCCTCTCTCCGGGGGTGGCTGGGACCCTTTGGCGAGCACAGGTATTGAAGTGCTAGGCACGGTTGGCCTAGAGCAGGTCAATGGGGGGCAGGGGGAACATACATCCCCGCCCCCTAACCCAGGCCTATTGTCTGTGTCCATGGGTTATTCATATATGCATACAAATTCTTTGGTTGATCTCTTCCCATCCATCCAAACTCCCCCGCTTTCCCTCTGAGGTCCCACAGTCTGTTCCATGCTTCTGTGTCTCTAGATCTGCTTTGTTCATCCGTGTGTTTTGTGGGGTCTCCATGATGATGTGGACATCCCAGGTGGAGGGCTCAGCTGTCCCTCAGGCTCCTCCGTGGTCCCTTCCAGCTGGGATGAAGCTGGCCTGGTTCCGGACCCACAGGATTGCAGCTTGCTGGCCGCCCAGGCTGAGCTCAGCGTGGCCAGCTGCTCCTCGGAGTCCCTGGGCTTCTTCTGGGCTCTCCCTTGGAGGCACGGGGGTGGGGCAGGGGGAAACCCCCTCCACCAGCTGGGGGCTGCCAGGGCCCCTGCCCACCCTTACGAAGGGGTTCTCCCACCCTGTACCAGCTGCACAGCCATCCCCTTTGCTTCCACAGGGGCAGGGCAGGAAGTGGGGCAATGCCAGAACCAATTAAACTTGCCAGGGGAATTAAGGTCAGCAGGATGCAATTATGCCTGTTGGATTTACCCAGGCCGGAGGGAAGTCATCTCCAGCCAGAGCTCATGGCTCCTCAGGCCTCTTGCCCTGGACGGCTCTGCACTCCAGAAGCCGGGGCTCCCAAGCGCGCCCACTTCGGGGAGGTTTCCTTGGGAGCAGAGGGGTTAACTCCAGCCGGGCACTGCTTCCTGGCTCTCAGGATGAAATTAATCCAGCCAAGATGCTTTAAAAGGACCTGCTCAGCGGAGACATTTCCCAGCCTCACCCTCTCCCTGCTCGGCTGTGATGGAAAATCTAGGGAGTTGAGCAATGACCTTCTGACTCTGAAGGGAGCAGCCAAGTCCCCTCACAGCTTTCCTCCGGTCCTGGAACGGGAGCCGCTGAGGGATGTTTTCTCCTGCCCTCTCCCACCTTGGGCCCCCAGCCCGGGGCTGTGGCATAGCTCCCAGGCCTCTGG